CTTAGCAACTGGGGTAATATACTGTGTATCATCATTAGAAGGTACTGATAGCTTTATCCTCCCATGATATCTACCACTGTAGATGTTGTCACTATTCAGAAGAAGAAGCACATTGTTGTCGTTAATTGCCCTCACATTGGCCTCAACTCATGGTGATACTGTATATGAGACATCTCCAAGACTCCCTGTCCTCCACTGCTTTGCTCAGGTCATGCAGGCTCAGGCCTGTGGCCTCCCAAGATTGAGTCTAGCCATCTGGCATGTGGTCTTCCTCTTTTTGTACTGCCCTCTACTTTTCCTAGAATCATTGTCTTTTCTGATGATCCACACCTTCTCATGAAGTGGCCAAAGTATGACAGCCTCAGTTTAGTCATCCTGGCTTCCAGGGAGAGTTCAAGCTTGATATTTTCTAGAACCCATTTGTTTGTCTTCTAAGCCATCCATGGTATCCTCAACACTCTTCTCCAACATCACATCTCAAATGAGTTGAGTTTCTTTCTATTGGCTTTCTTCACTGTCCATCTCTCACATTTGTACATGGTGATGGAAAATACATTGGTTTGAACATTCCTCACTTTAGAATTCAGAGTTATATCTTTACACTTTATTATTTTGTCCAGTTCTTTCATAGCTACCCTTCCCAATCCTAGTCTTCTTCTAATTTCTTGACTGTAGTCTCTGTTCTGATATCGTTATCTGTAATTAGTAACATTCAGGTGTAATAAAGCTACATTTAAAAAGTAAAGCAAGTAAGCCACTAAGTATTTTTGGATAGCAAAGTGAGATATACATTCTCTGAGATAAATATAATAAACAGTGTCAATGGTATGGAATGTAGAATGTGTAGGCATGCTATTTATTTAAGCAGGCATGCTTATGATAAAATATGCTTATGATACATCTAAACCAAGCCTATCATTTGAAAAAGAAAACTCAGAATTTTAAGTGCTGCTGAACTATGATATCGAACTCCTCTAATCAGTCATATAAAAATAGTGGGGGATCACCTTCAGTTAATCCTTTTAGCAAAATGAACTGAACTGGAATATTAGATTGTTTGCTACCATTTTATTGTTGTTGTTGTTGTTGTTTAAAAAATACATATATTTTCAAAAGTAGCCCTTAATGAAATATGAATACTTTCAATTAGTGTTAATTTGGATCCAGACTGGATCCAGTGAACAAACAAATTGTTTTGAAGATGTACATCCAGAGGAAGTTCTTTGAAGGCCTTGATCATCTGGGAAAACAGCTGCTACAGAGAGGCAGCAATTTTTCACAGTGGGATCCTGCCTTCTGATGTCCTTCATTCTGACATTTGAAGGGTTATGCAGGACAAGAAACAAAACAAGTTGCTTTGAATTAGCACTTTTTGAAAAGGTTGCAGGTTTTCACTTTGTGAACTTTTACATTGCTGACCTAATCACATAGCAGCTTTCTTTAAGCTTTCAGCAACTTTGCCGTGAGGCCACAAATGTACCATGTTCTATCAGCAAGGAAAAGTAGTTTGGAAATCCAACCAACTGCAAAGCAGACTTCCCCTACTTGGCTGCTTTTTTCAGTCATCAAGTAGTGACACTTTCATTCGTAAAGCTTCAGAAATCATTGTTGCATTATTCCATGACTTGATCACATGATGTTGTTATATTGCAGCATGCAGACAGAAATTCCCTCAATCTCTCCTGCAAAGTTTCTCATATACTAGTGGTTCGATGAATGTTAGATGAGGTAATTTATTGCTGAGATTGGAACTTTCCTGACCTCTTCAAGGCTGATTGCCTTGCCTCCCAGAAACTGTTGGTGACTAATGTATCATGGCCCCATGCCTTGCCAACACTGAGAGACCCCATCTGGTGAGTAGCTTGCCCCATCAATTCAACATTTTGCCAGTAGTTTTTCTTTTACTGTTTTGCAACCCTGTTCTTTAAATGAATGTATCATATTTTTCACCTCTAATTGTGTGTAATGTTTTTATTACTTTTAATTTCACCTGCTGTTTTTGGTGCTATTTTAGTGAGTGATGGCGTGGTGGATGCAATATGTTGCTAGCTGTTTTGCATATTTTTGGACAGAACAAGATATATATCAGTTGAAATAAATATAGTATATTAATAATATGATCACATAAAGAATGGAAAACATGTGCAACTGTACTCATTTTGCAATATTCTTGAACTATATTATTGTACTACAATATTCGTCCACTGTATTCATGTGTTAGGCGATCTTGGAATTCATAGAATCATAGAATCATAGAGTTGGAAGAGACCACAAGGGCCATCCAGTCCAACCCCCTGCCATGCAGGAACTCCCAATCAAAGCATCCCCAATAGATGGCCATCCAGCCCCTGATGTCGTTGTTGTTGATCAGGGGTAGGCAACCTTTCCCCTTTAAGGGCCGAGGGACTTCAGCTCCCAGAATCCCAGGAGCTATTGGCCAACATGGGACTATTGGCCAACATAGTTGAGGCTTCTGGGATCTGAAGTCCCTCAGCCCTTAAAGGGGAAAGGTTGCCTACCCCTGTTGATGATGAGAAAAAGAGGAAGAAGAAGAGGAAGTTGCCATCACTACCACCTTTGCCAGTTCAGAACACATGGAGGCTTACAAAAGTTAAGCAGATAACAACTAAAAATCCACATCATACAAAATTAAAACTATAATTTAATTATCAATAGAAGAAAAAGCAATTAAAAATATGACCATTAAAAATAAAAACACTCTCCAAAAAATAAGCAATACAACACAGACCTCAAAGGCCTGCTGAAACAAAAAAAAATATGGAAGGATAGCAAGGAAGTCACCAGTATAACTTCTCTAGGAAGGGAATTCCAAAGCCTGGGAGCAGTCATTAAGAAGACCCTCTAGTATCCCAGATGTACTGGTGATGGTGATGGGACACAGAGAATTAGAAGATCTGAAAACACAGATAGGCTCATATGGGAAAAAATAGCCCTTTGGATAACCTAGACCTGAATGGTCTATGAATTTATAATTCAAAACCAGCACTTTGAATTGTGCCCAGAAGAGGGGCTTCCTTGGTAGCTCTTTCCCTCTTTGCCTCCAGTCATAATGTTGATTTTGTGCCATGTGAAAAAGAGGTATTGTGTATTAGAAGTGTGGAGGTGGCAAGGAAATAGAGGACATAGGTCTACTGGATGCACATGTCCTGCACACAGAGTGATATTTAGATTAGCACTGAGGCTAATTTAAGCCAATGATGGGGAACCTCAGTCTGCGCAGCCAAATACAGTCCTCTGTGCTTCCTCCAATAGCCATAACCCCTCTTTCTCCATAACATTTGGCAGATTTCTGGCTTTTACATGGGATTCTCCTAAGAAATTGAAACATCTCTAGTAAGGCTTAGAATATGGCACAAAACTAAAAGATGCTGGCATTTTTCTTCCCACGTTTTTGCCTAGGATGAAACTAGCACTGGGAAGTACCTCTCAAGAATTTCTCTAAAACTGAATTTGATTTCTGTTCTGACAGAGGTTCCCTACCTGTCATGGTAAAAAAAAAAAACCTCCTTCCCGTGATGTGCAGTGGAAGGGCATCTTTCTTCAAAGCAAGAAACAAACAATGCCGGATGAGATCTCTTCACTTACAACACTTACTGCTTTTAAGAAAGCAGTTAAGACGGATCTCTTCCGGCAGGCCTTCCCGGAATAACCCTCCTCAGAGGATGAATATTGATCTCTCCTCCCCTAGCCTTTTGTTGTTTTTCTGTTTATATTTTTACTGTACTTTTATATTGTTATAGTATTGTTTTAAAATATTTTCAAGTTTAATTCTGTTTTAAGGGGTGTGGGAGGGATGTGGGTGGAGGGATTGGGATATGGGATTGTTTTAATTATTGTATTTTAGCTGTTGTGAGCCGCCCCGATTGCGATGCAGAGGGGCGGGTTAAAAATAAAACTTATTATTATTATTATTATTATAATGCAGAAGGAGGGGAAACCAGGTGAAATGACTCTGTCATTCCTCCCACCATCCAGTATGAGCCCAGCAAAGACTCCAGTATTGTATCAGAGCACTCTGTTTTCTGAGCAACTCAGCTATAGAACCTCTTCTGCTGGTGTATACCTCATTATTTCTTGTCCTTTGTTGTTGTCGTTGTGTGCCTTCAAGTCATTTCCGACTTATGGGGACCCTATCATGGGGTTTTCTTGGCAAGATTTGTGCAGAGGAGGTTTGCTATTGCCTTCCCCTGAGGCTGAGAGCATGTAACTTGCCTAAAATCACCCAGTCAGTTTCATGGCCGAGCTGGGAATCAAATCCTGGTCTGCAGAGTTGTAGTCCAACACTCAAACCACTACACAACCTCCTAGATATTCATGAAGGAAGGATATTATGTAATGATAAATTTTAATATAGCTTGTTCTAAGTGTCTTTTATAAGGGTTAGGCATGCTGTATGCCCCTGGGTGGCAATTTTGGTGGCTAAATCCTTGTGATAAAATCAGGATGCCATCCATTTTAAATTTTAAGCTGGCTCAGGTAAGTCAGTTTAATTTGCTTATGCAATAGTTTCCCAAGAATGCAAGGATAGAGAAAAGGTCAGACATGCAGTGGAGGACACACATATGAAATGCTGAGGGAAAGAAAACTGACAAATTGTATGTGCCAATAACATTTTCACATTTATCACTTTAAATACAAATTCCTTTTCTCCCTTCTTCTTTTAAAAAGATCACATAAGGCACATGTCTCAGGAAAATCTGTTGTTTTATGCAGTTTGTTTTCTAATGTGTACTATTCTCAGGCTTAGCTGTCATATTCTCTTCCAATGCCCTTTTAGGCTTGTGAAGAATTCCTATGGTTCCATGTAATGTCATGGCACTCAATTGTTGGTGTTGTGTTCCTTCAGGTCATTTCTGACTTATGGTGACGCTAAGGCCATATGGGATTCCCTTGGCAAGTTTTTACAGAGGAGGTTTGCAATTGCCATCCTCTGAAGATTAGAGAGTGTGACTTGCCCAAGGTCACTCAGTGGGTTTACATGGATGAGCCAGGATTTGAACCTTGGTCTCAAGAGTCCTAGTCTAACACTAAAACCACTCCACCACGCTAGCTCTCACTGTGTTTTATTTATTATAGATTTCAAAATAAACCTCACAGCTCCAAAGATTTAGCTTTTTATTAGAGTGTGTTTGAAGCTACTCTAAGATCCAGGTGGCATAGTGTTGTACTTGATTTCCATGAAATGCAGTTTCAGGCACACACTAGACTATACTGGACAACAATAGCACCTAGCATAGGTTATAGCATGGCACGCAAGTCCATTCAGAGGTGGAAAAGTGACAGGTCTAGGGATCCAGATGAAGACAGTATCCAAAACCAGAGACCACAACAGGTCTTGTCTCATCTTGGATGTGGCTGGTGTATAATATTGAAATTATAAGTTGAAATATAAGCAAGGGGACAACATACGTTACCAGAAAATCATGCAAAAGAGCAGACAAGACCAAATCCTATATATGTAAGTTTTTGGAGAGATTTTTAAAACTTGCTTTTCAGAGAAACCTTCTTAAAGTTTTCTAAAACCTAGGGCACCACCTATTGGCCAATCTCTATATACAATTTTATTCTGTTAAACATAGATTATCACACTACCTTTAAAATGCATTAAAAAGAGACTTAGGGGCTCAACAGACTGACCCTAAAGGGCAGCATCCCACCACTCTTTCTTGCTGGATCAGGGCTGCAGCAACCACATGCCGTGGTCCCGATCTGGTACTTTGCCTCTCTAAAAAGAGCTGGCAAATGCCACTCCTTTTTAGAGTGGCAAAAAGCTGTTTTTGCTGCCGCCGCAGCAGTTTTCAGCACTCCTTTGGTGCAGCATATATGAACACTGCGCCAAGGGAGCACCCTGATGTCTCTTTGGATAGGCGGTGTGAGGACGACATGGGGGCACAGTTGGGGCAGCTGGCATGCGGTCACCACACACCCACTCCACCCCCAGGCCAGCCCTTGTGGCCAGTCTGTACAGCCTGTTACTTTGCCCAAATTATAGCAAAATTCAGGCTGCATCTGGATAGTATTGCATGGATTTCCCCCCCCAAAAAAACCCACCATCAGAATGCAGCCCGAATTTAGTCCGAACTTTCTGAGTGAGAAAAATGGCCACCGAAGCGAGTTAAGTCAGCCAGGATGAATTCAGGATGCATTCCAATGGTGATTTTTCAGGGAAAATCCATGCAGTACCATCCGGATGCAGCACAAATTTTACTTCAGTTTGGGTGAGGTAAGTCTCTTTTTAATGCATTTTGAAGGTAGTGCAATAATCTCCATATTTCAATTATTTCTCCTCAACCAACTTCAAATCATTATCTATATGTAATACGTTACCAGTAGTACCTAGTAATAAATTGCTTTTTTTTTTTTTGTAACAAGAACATAAGGAAGTTCTGTTTCAAAAGTAAGGTAATAAGTCAGAACAAAGTTGTTTGTGTGTAATGAAGAACATTTTCCCCTTTTCAAAATTTCTTTTTAAATGTGTTTAGGCATTTTTTAGGTATTTTGAGTGTAATTTTTCAAAATGCCTAACTTACCCAACCTAACAGTTTTTATAAAGTAACAAAAATTGCATAACAAGCAGAGAAACAAATTATTCCTCAAGCATTGCAATGAGCTACTGAAATAAATTATTTTAAAAAATAACTTTCCAGGCTCTGATTCAAATTAAAACATAACAGAAAACCAAGACAATTCGAGTCAAACTTGTTGCAAGATAGAGATTTGCCAGAAAACAGTTAAAGCTACTTCAGCAACCACATTAATTATCTGTGTTATCTATGAGATTTTTAATGAAGAAATGTTTACGGGCTTAAGTGAAAAGCTGACAGATCATCATGAATGAAGCCAAGGTTTAGAACCACTTCAGAAATATAATCATTATACATGGTCGATTCAGAGATAAGAAAGTTAGTTAAAAATACTATTATGTTGTTTAAGCATTAAAAAAGTACTTGAAGTATGTTTACATTGAAAGGATACATTTACTGTGCTTACATTAACTATAACCTTCCATTTAAATTTAGATCACAATTCTGTACTAAATTACTAAACTACTGGAATAAATGTGAAAAAGCCCATTGGTAATTTCATTCTTCCCACTCATCCCTGTTTTCATATTGGAAAAGAAGGAACATTTTGGGAAGTCCCATTTCTCACCCACCCAATGATAAAGATGTTTGAAATAAACACACATAGGAACGATGCAGGAAATAAAAACCTTTATTTGTAAGTGTAAATTATAAATGATGCCATTCATCCCATCAACAACATGATAAAAAAAACTTTATATGCATGATTGGTGGGTATCATTTTTAGAAGGAGAGACTAACAAGAACTATTTTTTTTTCAGAACTACCTTTTTTGCAGAAACAGATAAATTAACAGTAATATTGCTCTTATCTGTTGCCTGGGCAGGGAGATATCCTTCTGCTGCTGTTCCACTCTTCTTCTCTGTCCCTTTCTTCCTCCAGTTACCTCCATAATTTTCTACAATTTCTCTGAGAGACAAAATAGAAAGAAATGCTCAGACAAAATTGGAAAGCAAGGCACTTCACACTGAAATCAGCAAACATAATTATCTTTTTATAAAATAAGAAAACCAAAAGCAACCACTGCTCCTAACAAGGCTTACCTTAACATGTTGCTTCACCTTGTCTGAGAAGCTTAACTCTGCAGAAATAGTTGCACATATTAGATGGCAGCAAAATTTGCACTTCATCAATAGATCTTTCCCATGCTTGGCTGTAAGGACTCCCACTGTTTCATACCTTTATTCAACCCCAAAATAAATGGAGTTGGTCTCTCTGTTGGTTGCTTGAGATTTGGAATAACAGCAGCAGTAACAAGAAGAAGAAGAATGGGAAGAAGACAGATTAAATCAGTTAATTTCTCCCTATAAATCCATTAATTCTAAGAATCATAAACAATTGTAACCTAGTTATTATTATAGTCCATAATGATTCCCATAACCACTTAAAATACCTGATATTGAAATAGGTGCACACATTGACATGAATGCATGATTTCTTAACTGGCTCTATTTTATTGATAATCCCCATGTGGACAAAGTGGGATGGATTTTGAATAATGCTACAAAGAAATCCCTCTTGATCCACAAGCACATACAAAAATACAAAAAACCTAATTTAATGACACTTAAAGCAGATGTATTTCTTACAGAAAATATATTTCTTTTTGAAATTCTCTAGCTGGTCATATTTATCTGAAATTACTGTTTCTGGTCAAAAATATACTTGCTAAAATGTTCAAAATAAATTTATATTATCTACAAAATGATCCCTGATTTTATTGGCCTGCCATTTTTCCTTCAGGCCATCTTTGAATCCCCTGCCTTCCCTCCTTTTCTCCCAGAATGCAATTTTATGATTCTCTTACCTCTTCCAATAGCATCTCTTCCTCCAATATTTTCGGTAACATCTGTTTTGTAGATATCCACCTCTGCTGTCTATTTTCTCCCATTTTTCTATATCTTCTGCTTAGGAGCTCTTCCACATTTCATAGACACCTTCTTTCCTTCCCACACATATGCTGCATGGGCTTCCTCTTCCTCTTCCTGTTCTTCCCACCCCCTTCCCTTGTGTTCTTTACAGTCTGCTGTATTTGCTATTGTATGTCACTGCCTGCCACAGTGAAAACTCCAAAAGCAAAAATAGGAGAAGTCATGTGTTACCCAAGGTCCAGTCTTCCTTCAACCTTTCTCTTTTCTGATATCAAGCTTACATTACAAGGATGTTTAAGGCTCATAGCCACAATGGTGCCCGAGTGAAGGAAAACAGCCATATCATATAAGGAGATCCAGGAGGCGCAGCATGAGGAAGATCAAGAGCATGTAGCCAAGGATAGATTGACCAAGATTTCAATCTGAATAATCCCATCACTGATATGAGTGATGGCGGGTTACAGACCTTGTGCCTACAAGTGAACAGAAATCCAAGTACACTTCCCTCTGGGAGCAATACTCCTTTGTCCAAGGACATTTGCACTGATTGTCCAGCCATTCACATGTTCCCTTCTCATTCTGCAAGCTACCCCTTAATCTCAAATTCTGCCCCAGAACAGGTTTCGCTCTATAAATATGCCTGCTTAGGTACCAACAATTAGGTCTCACTTGAAGTCAGACAGATACTCTGTCCGTATATCGCTTCTCAGCATTGCTGGCCATGCCACAATCCCTAGGTAGTTTGCTGATCCACTTCTCCTCCCGTATCCTGCACCTAGAGCTCTGCATCTGGAATCAGTATAGTATCACCCTCTGCAACCCCTTAAGTTGCTGTCTGCTACCACCTTTTATTTTGTTAGTTCCTGAATGTGTGCATGAGTGAGTGTCTTTGTGTGGATGGTGATTCCCTTTGATTCATAAATAAAACTATTTTTGTAACTTGCACTCTGAGTTTTGTTTTTCAGAACTGATATACACAGGCTTGATTCTTGCTTTGAGTTGCCCAACCCCTCACAGCTGTTTTTAACTGAGTTAATAAAATTCCCCTATTGAGTATTACTTGTGGGTGATATCCCAGAACCATGGCATTTTGGGTAACATATTGGAAGGATGACAAAAAAAAAATGTTATGCCCCATATTATTTCCTGGGAAATGCCATCAAAATTGCATTGAATTTTGTTTGGAAAAACAAAACATTCTGATTTAAGTTATTTTTAATAATAAAAATGTAATTAAAGTAATTATTATTAACATACTGGTTTCTCAGTAGATATTCAAACATTGTATGTCATTGAGAGTCATATGTAAAATCCACCTAACTTCCTTAAAGGAATTAGGAAATTACACTCATCCCTCCATATTCACTGGGGTTAGGGGCACAGGACCCCTGTGAATGTGGAAAAGCCACAAATAACAAAAACATTATATTTTTACCTGAGAGACATCTCTCTAGGAATCTCTAGGTCCTCCAGTGCAACACTGTGGTCAACATCTACCAGACATTGACCATAAAATTGCTCTGGAGGAGATACAAATGTCTGGTGGAGTGTTCTCTCTAGAAATCCCTATGTCCTTCAGTGAGACTTTTGGTTAAA